GAGGCCTCAGCACATCCTGCCAGAGCCTCCATTCCCTGAGTGGGCACCTTCTCTCTCCCCCAGACCAAGCCTCCCTCCCTTTCCCTCCCCTTCCCTCCCCTCTCCTCCTCTACCCTCCCCCCTCTGCCCTCCCCTCCCCCCCATCTTGTTCTCAAACCACAAGGCTCCCGGCTCCGCAGCCCCCACTGTGGGCCGAGGGCCATTGGTTGAACGGCCGAGCGGGTATCTGGGCCAGACGCCCCCTGAGAAGCCCTGTGTGCGGGTGTGTCAGGAAGGGGTGCCCTCACCAAGAGGGGTGCCGCAGGGGCGGGCGGGACTCACCCATGTCCCCGGGGACGCTGACGCTCAGCAGGGCTGCCAGCAGCAGCCTGGTCCATGGGCTGGGCCGCGGCCCCGCCATCCTCTTCCTCCTGCGCGACAGCAGCAGTTCAGGCGGCGCCCACGCAGCGCCCGGGGTCCCCAGCACAGGCCAGGCCTCCCATTCAGGGGGGAACCGGGGCCCCACCCTCTTGCCTTTGGGGGCTCTGGGCTCTGAGCTTACTCTGGTGCCAGGTCCCTGCGCTGGGCCCTCGAGGGCAGGGCTGCTTCTCACTTTGCCTTTCAGACCCCAGTGGGCCTGGGTCAGGCTGGGCAGGGACAGGGTCCCCCAACAGGGGCCACCTCTGGAGGGCCTGGCTCTTCCCTCTTGCCCCTCTCCGCCCTGGCCCCCTTCCCTCTGTGGGGGTGGGGCAGCCAGGAGGAGAGGGGTCCCTCCTGATATCTGGGGCCTCGGAGAGGAGGAGGGGCTCCCTGCCCTCAGCTGGGCTCCGTAAGGGCTGCCCCCTCACGGGTGGGGTCCCCTGCCCCACGCCCACCTCGGCCTGCCCCGCAGTTGAGTTGGCGAGGCCTCTGAGTAGTTCACCCTTTGACAAGTTCACCTGGTGGTAGAGCGCACCCCCCCTTCCCCCCAATAAACACACACACACTGTGCCAGCCACCCAGGAGCCTCGTCTGCCTTGGTTCAGTATTAAACCTCTCAACGCATCAGCGGCGCCCCGGGCAGGCACAGTCCGCTGCCTCGGGAAGGGAAAGGGCTGCCCAGAGCCCAGGCCTGCAGAGCTGGGCGGACCTAGCCTGGCCTCATGGCCTCATCCCCGGCGGGTCGCTCAGTCGGTTAGACTTAGAGCCTCGTCCTATACACCAAGGTTGTGGGTTAGAATTCCCGGTCAGGGCACATACAAGAAGCAACCAATGAATGCATCAGTAAGTGGAACAACAAATCAATCTCTTGAGCTCTCTCCCTTCCTTCCTCTTTCTCTAAAATCATAAAAAAAATTGACCACTGGCCCCACTCCTCGGGTCCTTTTCTTGTCCTTGCCTCGTGGGCAGGGACGGCTCTGGAGGGCTGAGGCG